ACGAACAATGGTAATGTCTGACTGGGCCTCATGTCATTTTATGTTCAACAAATTGGGCCCCGAGGTCAAAAAGATTAAGAACTCCTGCACTATACCATACACTGTTCCAGTTAATGTAAGCCAACAAAATTAAAGTAACCCATGTATTTAAACATAACCTCCCATAATCTCCCCATGTTAACCTGTGTGTTTCCTTCATGTAGGAATGGGATCTATGCCAAACTTATCAATTGGTCTGTCATCCATGTCAACTATGTCCACCATGCCCATTCTAACACCCATCCCAGCTAACCCCAGTTTACCCACTGTGCAACCCCTGATGCCAATGACCCTGCCTTTAATTACCTCACTTGGAAACTCTGGGCTCCCTAACGGCACCATCAACCTCCTGACCCCGATGCTTGTTCCCAACAACACAGGTTGGTTCAGCAGAAGAACCGTTCTACACTTGTTCTTGGATGAATCGGGACAAATAGCGTTAAATGAATTGGTACCGTCTCATTTAAACTTGATAGGAAYGCACATGGTAGATGTTGGATTTGTATTGGTTTTGGCTGTCATTCTATTATTTTACGTTGGTTATTTAGAAAGGAAGGCACTGTGTAAATGGGCAAACAGTTCTGGTGAGATGGTAATTCTATAGGAATCTACCTAGAAAAACTACAAAACATCAAAGTATACTAGTTTGAGTGGACAAAGTCTAGCATCTAGAACAGTGAACAGTCAATTATAGCTTGTTAAAGTATACAAATATTGCTAATAAGCTATTTAACAAAGCCTCATCAACCATTAAGAATTTATTCTAATGTTTTTAGCTTTTTCCAAAATTTAAGGCTAATATGCCATTGGCAATCCTTTTGTAAGTGTTTCCATAACTCACAGTGGGGTTCCTAACACAACTTTTAGAACAACTGACTTAAAACACTCAAGWTAATAGTGGAGTTCTGTTGTGGTAAGCTCATAAATTATTAATATCTTATTTGTTGTAGATAGCTCTTTGAGTAACCTCAATTTGAAGAAAATAAGTTTAATGCAGACTWTACCAACGAGATGAAATGATATACTGTAGATGCCAAAGTTGCTTTAACTAACAATAACAATGTAACATGTTCATAGTTATTTGTGTAAAATCTCAATTTCACTGTGGAGCCAGCATTTGTTGTTAACCAGCATTTACACTTTTTATTTTATTATTGCAATCGTTGGTTCTGAATGTGTTCAAATAATCAGCACATATYTAGATAGCTTAAATCAGTTTATAGTCATTTTGTCTGCACATCATCTCAGTTTTTTTTCTTTTTCTTGGAAAGTGCCTGGCCTGAGTAAGACCCTAAAAATAGAATTCCATGAACTTCCATTGTCCTTTGTTGTYTTACTCCTTTTCCACTTGTCCTTTTGTTGCTCCCTAAATGTCAGTGTATTCAAGTACTATTGCTGTTGTTTGGCGTTCTCATATTCTTCGTGTCCGTCTTTAATGTAGTCTTGGAGGGAATCAAACAGTTTTTGGGTCAGATTTCAGTCACTTTGATGCAGGAACTCAATGCGCTGCGACTAAAATTTGATGAGATTAGTTGTGCATACAGCACATTCCTGAAGTGCCTACAGTGTGTCTGTTTGACTTCAGTAACTGACTCACTGTTTTACAAATGATAACTTAAACATAATTTTGAAATATTATAAAAAAAAACTCTTTCTGATTTATAATCACAGGYCCTCCTGTCTCTGGCTTTTCCTCTCCTATGGCTTTCTCCCCACCCACTGGCATGTCAAAGGCCAACTCTCTTCTGGACCTGGGGTCAAGCAGGTATGACTGTGAATGCCAAATTTCATTAAGAAAATAGCATTCCTTAAATAAAGGCCTGTCGCCTTGGCTGCATGCCCAAGTTTTAAATAAATACAGCGGGTAAAATAAGTATTAAACACGTCAACATTTTTCTCAGTAAATATATTACTAGAGGTGCTAATGACATGAAATTTTCATCAGATGTCAGTAACATCCCAAGTGATCCACACATACAAAGAAATCAAACCAT